AGCCGCTGAGAGAAGTCTTGTAAATACTTGTCTGTATGACCTTGTCCTATTTTTAACCCTCTTTTTTTTTCTCAAAGATGGCTGATTAAACTCAATTTTTTTTTTTTTTGCTAAAATTATGCAAAACAGACCACATACATATTCATGCACTTGAAGTAAATGTTATCAGGCCTTTTTGGGCGGATGTGCGCTCACTTGATATTCAGATGATGCTTTGGTCGCAGAATTAGATGAAACAGATATGCATTAATTTCTTCTTTGGTGATTTCTTGCTCATTTTAGTGTGTTAATTTTGGAATCACCTTGAGGCTAAATACAGACCATCAAGTACAAAACTTAAAACACATCACAGAAGCTGCTGTGAGAGCTGATTCTATTTGTATAGCACTTTAAAAGACTCGGCCTTTAAGATATTATAGTAATCAGATTTGAAAAGATGTTATCAAATAAGAACTAAAGTTGTAAATATGGATATGAATACTCTCCTGACCAAAAAAAAAGATCTATTTTCCACGTTTCTTTTGTGTCTCCTTTTATTCTTCCGGGTTTGCATCAAGTAAATCGTAGTCAGCTCATCCCCATCATGTACATCAGCTGATGTAAATGGAGCAGAACTCAAACACATGAGTAACTTAGCATTAGCAACACCATGGCTAACAACTCAACTCAACTTTATTTGTAAAGCACTTTAAAACAACCACAGCTGAACAAAGTGCTGTACATGAATAGACAAAACTATGTAAACATAAAAAAAAACAATCAAAAAACAATTAAAACAATGGATAATATAAAAGCAAATATTAAAAAGTAAAATATAGTTTCAATGTTTTTAAAAACTAATTTAAAAACATAGTAACAAATAACTAAAAACAAACCATAAAACACTAAAACAGGAGCCGAGTCTCATGCAGGGTTGAAAGCCAATGAATAAAAATGGGTTTTAAGACGAGTTTTAAAAATGGACAGTGTGGGGGCTTGTCTGATTTGGAGGGGTAGCTCATTCCATAATTTTGGAGCGGCAACAGAAAAAGATCTATCCCCTCTGAGTTTCAGTTTGGACCTCGGTACCTCCAGGAGCAGCTGATCAGCTGACCTGAGGCACCGAGCAGGGGTGTAGGGGTGGAGAAGCTCAGAGAGGTAAGATGGAGCCAGACCATTTAAAGACAAGTCTACAGTATGAAAATATTTGAAAATTAGAAAAAGAAAAACAGTAATAATAAATTCAGTATGGTCTATTGTAGTGGAGCTGCATTTAATAATACTAATTTGGTACAACATTCAAAAAGATGTCCTTGAGAGAGAGCAAAAAAGCTTAAAGATGACAGAAAACGGGTTTAAGTTCATGGCTTTGTGGTAGAAAATACAGTTTTTTTCTGTCTTTTAGAGCCACGGCGTGTCCTGCTGTCTCAATACCACATTTAAGATACCGCCTTACTGGAGCTTCACAGCAGCATTCATGACAACAAACACGGCAATTCAAACATGATGCCACTGCTGTTCGTTTTACTGCAGACATTTAAGTTCTGAAGTTTTTCCACATGTCGTAGCTGAGCCTCACAGCACTCTGGATTGACTCCAACACTTTTGCAGTTATAGCATACAGCACTGAACACCAGAGGGTCTCATACAGCAGAGCAGTGAAGCGGAATAGTTGAGGGGAATTTTGCAACGGACTAAGTTAAACCAAATAAGCAGAAAACATCTTTGAGTTCATTTTTTTGAGTGAGCTTTTAAAAAAACAACCCTGTATGTTGCTCTGTCAGCCAGACAAATACAAACATTGTTACAGGACTTAGTTTCAACACATACTCAGAATTAAAAAAAAATCAGGTCAAGGGTCAAAAAACTGATCTGGTAGAGGTGAAAGACCTACTCAGAACCCCCTCCTTAAAAAAGCAGAAAATGGTGCTCACTAAAATTGAACTTTAAGAGTAACAAATAGGACGAACAACTTTTAAAAGTTGTGTCACAGTAATCCAGATTGTTCGTTTTTTCAGTAGCTGAAGTTTTCTTTTTCTCTCTCTGTCTCCGTCCAGGATGTGATGGTGGTGGGCGAGCCAACCCTCATGGGCGGCGAATTCGGGGACGAAGACGAGCGTCTGATCACCCGACTGGAGAACACACAGTACGACGCCACCAACGGCCTGGACGACGAGGACGACTTCAACAGCTCCCCGGCTCTGGGCAACAACGCCCCCTGGAGCAGCAAACCCCCCGCTGCTCAGGACAGCAAGCCCGAGAGCACGGCACCCCAGCCCTCACAGTAAAACTAAAGAAGAAGAAAAACACGAGATCCTCGGCTCCATGTGGACTGGACTTTTTAACCTCTCCCCTCTTCCCCCTGAGGGCCTCATAACATTGTACTGAATCAGAAACCCCCGTCTGAAAACCCACCACCGGCATGTCCAGCCAAAATATGTCCTCTCTGGGTATTTTTCTCTTCTCTGAATCACTGTAACATCTCAGAGAACATTGAGGACTGGCACAGCAATATCCACATGTCAAAGACTGCAAATGCATACAAGCCGTATGCAACTGTAATGTAAAAAACAAAATAGAGACGTCTGCATTTTTTCTGAAGAATGCAGTGGAAAATTGCGGATCAAATTCTCCTCCTCGGACACTCAGATCCAAGCGGCTCGTCTGGTGGAATACAACAGCTGTGATTGGTTGACCTGCAGGTCCCGAGTCATCATGCTGACAGTAGACAGCGGAGAAAGAAGAATAAAAACAACAAAAACATAATGTCTCCAGAAAAGAAAAAAAAAAAGAGCTCAACTCGGAGAAGACGAGGTGTTTTTTAGCAGCCACTGGAAGCATCTCACCACGCTGGAGACAAATGAGACGTTGTTTAAAGGCAATTGTATTTTTATTGGAAATTCAGTTTGCTGTTGGTTTGTTTCTGTCGTTGCTGTTTATTTCCATTTCCAATTAAGAGAAAATAAAAGTTCTCTTCGGCAATGGACTGCATTCAAACAAGGAAAAAAAATCATGTTCTGGGATTGTTTTTCCACATTAACCGCGGTCGTCACAGATTGTGATTTCATGCAAACCAGTTTGATTGTGTTTGTAGTCAATTGGTATTTTGCTTCTCTCAGAACCCCGTTTTGCAATCACGTTGTAATTTTGCCGATCAGTATGTGAACTTAACAAACACACATTGAAACATTGATGTTGATTTTTTTCTTATCCCTTCTTGAAAATTGGACTTCTTTCCCTTTAACGACCTACTCCCAAACTGATACAAAAGCCTTTTCCTGCATGATTTTATAGGATTTTTATTTTGTTTGATATATGTACTTTTTAAAAACCATCAGTTTTGTTTTGGGTTCATCAGTTTGGGAACACTGTTACAAGGTTTGTAGCTCTGTAAATAGAGGTGGAATCTATTTTGTCCACTGTAAATCAGCCACTGAAGCAGTTTGAATATGGCAGCTGTTTTGTTTTCGTACAGGAGGTTCAGATTTCTGTCGGGTGGATTGGACGGACGCTGATTTGTCCACTTATGTTTCCTCTTTAGCTAGTGCAGAACCAAAGCCGCAAAGTTCAGTCACGTGATCACATTTCTGATTTAATCTGTGACAAATGAGGGAAACAAAAAGACATTTTTAAAGATAACACACAGATGAAGTCCTTCCACCCCACAGAAATAGTTTGGGATTCCTGTGTTTGTGTTCACGATTGTTCTTTAATCTTTAATTGAATTGATATTATATCCCTGATCCTCTTTTGTTGGACTTTTGTTGGATAAATGGGCAAGACGACAGCGACAGGCGTCTTTATTCAATTGGATCTTATGGGTATTTATTTGTGCATTTGTAAGGAAGCTAACACATTTCTAAATATGTTTGAGCCTAGTATTATTAGACACCATTTGTACATTATATAGCAGAGGTGTTCAGTGTCATATCTGATGTCTGGTATGTATGCTTTACCATTATGTGTGCCAATAAACCGTGCTTACAAAGGAGTGGAGTTTGGTTTGGTAACATACATCATCATGTGGATGTGAACAGTGTTTATTTGGACGAGTGTACTCCTCTATTATTTCATACTAGAAAAGCTTTGGTATCGATCCTTTCTTGCTTTTACAACAATATCTAAAAATTGTAATTAAAGGGATAGTTTGGAACTTTTGTGATGAGATTGTACGAGCCAGCCTTTTTATTCAGCAGCTCTGGTAGGAGATTTTCATGACACATTTTTTTAGCTAAAAATAAGTGGATTTTACTGATCATTTTTGGGACAGTAAACAGGGCACAGTTTAATTCTCCCCTACATCTAAAACGACTCCGCCTCAGGGTAAAATTGTAATTTTGTGTTGCACTTTTCTTCCTTCAGGAGCAGATGACAACAGGTGGCAGGAGATGATTTAAAAGAACATCAGAGTACATCTGTGATTAAGCCTGATTGAAGAAAATGATCCAACATCAGGTTTTGGTGTCAGTCTCTGCAAATAAAAGAGCAAAAGCTTCTCTCCGGGGCTGCAACTGTAACCAATGTTTAATGATCGTGCTGCGAAAGAAACAACGATCAGATGGAGACATTATAGACCAGCATGCAATACAGCTGCTGTGCAGGTTTTAAATATGAAGCTGTCACATGAACGTGCTCAGGTGTTTGGAATCAAAGTCACTCACACTCATTTGAATATTCACTGTTTAGTATTTGATATAGTATCATGATAATATTGCAGTTTGGACGACTTGTGAAAATGTTTCTTTGGATTAATGTGTGAAAAGTGGATTGACCCCTAATGAATTGAAATTAACTTTAAGGCTAGTCCTTAAGAAAATTGATGAGATATTTCATATTTCAAATTGAAAGATATTTCATGAAGTATTTAAACTGAAGTCATGTGTCAAAATTACTGAGTGCACCACTGCAGGTTATCTGAGTAACTGAAGCTGTGTTTGATCCTCACAAGTTCCTCAGCAAAGTTCTGCAGCGAACTCAGTACTGTTGTTGGGTAAACTTTTAAACCAGGACGATTTGATGGAGCTTTGGCGACACCAAGTGGAGCAGAGTGAGTACTGCAACATCACTTGTTTTTAAAATGTGATTCAACATTGTGCATTGATTCATACCGCTGACTATTATCACATTAAAGACTAAAAACAAGTCTTTTTTAAACATTTTTAATCAATATAGTTTAACTTCAATTAAGCTAAAATGCTTATAGCACTCGTAAGTAAGGTTCAATATACACAGTTTTTTTATTAACATTAAATATTCACTTTAAAAACTCATTTCTTGTATTCCGTAGTTTTTTTTTTTTTATTTATTTTTGTTTTTTTATTATTATTTTTTTTCCACAGGGAAAGTCTGCATTATTTTCCAACCATTTTATAAATAGACTCAGAATCCCTATAAAAAAATGAAAATGTTTCTGGTCAAAAAATGCGCATGTAAAATATTCTCAAATCGAAACATTATTTAATAAAAATTTAATACCCAATTTAACGCAGAAAGGTTCCCTTACAATAATCGGTGTAAGTTTTTTAACGTTAACCGGCACATTATTGAATCTGCCGCTTAACGTTCACGTCACTGACGTCGTCTGTTTTTACCTACAAGGAGATGACGTTGCACAGGGCGACGCGGCGCCCAAAGTAAAGATGGCGGACATGTCGGGGAGCGAGCAGCTGTCAGAGGAGAAAGAAAAAGATATCGAGCTGAAGAAAAGACAAAAACGACCGTGGGAGGATTTGCACAAGTCGGCTAAAATCGGTTTAACTCCAGAGCTGCCGGAAACTTTGGGTTTTTATGATATTAGCGCTGTCAGGAGGGAGCAACGGGAGCAGCCAGCAGGTAAGGGTCCCAACGGTTACCCCGAAGTGACGTTTGGACCGTTACAGCTCATGAGCGTTACTGCTCTCAGATAAAATACTGTCACGACATATGACTAGAAATATAACTCAACGGGACATATAATACTTCGTTGTAAGTCGATGTGGAGGCTGTAGGGGTTGTTATTATGTTGAGTAAGTTTTGTCAACGTCCTCTAAGGTTACAATCACTGACAGCTCCAATAAGCTGTCAGTTTTGCTCAAAATACTAAATGTCACAACTCTGACACTTGAAAAATAAATACAGTAACTCATTAAAACTTAAAACTGTGCCTGTCTCTCATACTGTGGGTGTTGTGATAACTATCTAAAGTTGGTGAACATGTGTACATGAAAGTCCAGTAATAGTAAACCTTACATCCATAACCTAATATTAGTTTGAAACGTTATGTAATCTCACATACTTTTTCAGTTGGAGTTTTTTTAATCACTTGTCTTAGACCATGAAATCAGAAAACTGATGTTAACCGAATAGATTTAGCTTGTATTGAAAACTTTTGGTACGCATTGGTGGTGTTCAGTACAAGTTTCAATGTTGGTTTTGCACACTTTAAGCTTACTGTTATTCACTAAATTCATCTATTTAGCTGCTCTTATTATTACCCAAGTCTGTTTGCATGTAGTTTGCATGTCTATAGTAAATAACACCCTCTGGATCACGGAAGCAGAAATTGAAGTCGAGGTTTTCAGGTGTTAAACCAACTCTACTGCCACTCACACCCATCAGTCATAACATCACAACCACCTACATATAGTGTCACCCACTTTCTCCTCAGGTTGGGGTCGAAACAACCCTGACCTGACGAGATATGGACTTCACTAGACCTCTGAAGGTGTTCTTTGTTATTTGGTACCAAGTCCTGGAAGCTACGAGGTAGCACCACCATGGATTGGACCTGGTTGCCCAGCATCCAGGATCTGGTGTATTTGTCTACAACCTTGATCTACATGATCAGATACAGGCCCCTTTATTTATACAAAATGGGGATTTAATACTGTCAGTCTACAAACAACAGCCAGTATAAGTATGTTATAGACAATAAAGCCAGGAAACTGCTTTGGGTCGCACACTGAGAAATGCCCTGGAAGCTTCTACGGTAGACCGGGAACCACAAGAGCTGCACTTTCAGAGATGTTCTGACCCAGTCCTCCAGTCATCACAGTAAAGCCCATGTCAAAGCTGCTCATATCCTCATGTTGGTTCACTTTTGCCAACTTCTCTAATGGCTAAACATTTCCCATTATAATGATAAACACAGTACCTGTCAATGTTAACTAAAAACGAAAGAAAAGGAGACACTTTAAGTTTGGTGCCTGATGGCAGACATAGATATTTGATTCTTCACTTGTTGGCAATATTTAGACTCTAATCGTTCTCATGAATCCTCGTTTGACCCCTCAGATAGTGAATTTATTTAGTCAAGAATAAGTCAGGGCGACATCAAAGGCTGTGTAAACACTGCTGAATAAACGGCAAACAGTCGAAAGTGCAACTAACAAAAACACTGTAGCTGCATAGAGAAGCATGTTTGCTCAGGAGGTGACATTTACAATTTAATTTAAAAGAAATACTGCACAATGCTGCAGACATAATTGACATGATTGTCTTTTAGAGACAGTCTTTCTGGTGTGAAACTGAACTGAACTGAACCTCTGTGATATTTCTGCTTCAGCCCCCATTAAATACAGACATGTTTTAGCTCAATGTGTAACTTAAACCTCAGTGGCACGAGTCATACCGACCCAGCACAACATATTAGATCATTCGATGTTTGAGGTCCAGTAAATTAATCTTTTTCTTTTGATTACGAAGCATGACTTTGACAAGTTCATATAATTTGGAATCAAGTGAAAGGACTTGAATTCAGTCTGTGGAAATTTGGTGTAAATTGTGACCCGGATAATCAAACAAAGGCTCTAAGGTTGAGATAAAAACAAGTTCCTTTTTATTAAATTGTCTGAAAAATAAAAACAAAATAAAAATGCAAATTCCTTTCTTGTTGTAGAGATGCAAATCCTACAGGACTTTGTTATACTTTCATTTAAAACCAGGGCAAAATTTTTAGTTGTTAATTTAAATGAGAACTAGGGTCTGACCGATATGGATTTTTTGGGGGGCGTTGCCGATACCAGTTATTAGAGGGGGAAAAAATCTGATCACCGATTAATCGGCTGATTTTTAAATTTTTTTATGAAGTTTTAAAATTGTGTTAATTTAAGTAATATATCTACACATTGACTTTTTTTTGACAAATGGCTGCTTTTGAGCCTTTCAAACACTTCTTCAAAGAATTAAAGGCAGAAAACTCATTTCAAATCCTTTTGATTGTCATGAGTTTACTGCGCCATCTACAGGATAAGTCAGGGGATCTTTTCAAATGGCGGAACATTTTCGAAGTGAAACCGAATCTTATTCTCCACATTTTTTTTGGAAAACATCGTCGACAATCAACAAGTTTTGGCCGATTACCTATTAGTCTCAAACGGGCTAAAACTGGCCAATTTAATCGTCTCGCTGATTAATCATTCGGGCCCTAAAAAAAACATCCCAATATTTCACATACCAAATGATCAAACTATGACTTTGAGAAAGTCAACGGCAGAAAAATAAAACTCTCAAAAGCTTTATTTTCATTGTTTAGATGTTTTGTAGTGATTCCCTGAATTAGACAAAGAGACAAAAACAGGTGAACCTCAGTTTTCACCGTTCAGGGAAGCTTCCTTCTCTTTCACTCTACAGTAGGACACTCTAAAGGTCAGTTCTGTCATTGTGTTGATAGCTGTGGTTGTAATTGTTGCAGACAATAGCCGTGTGCTAACACTGGTGCTTCAATGTTGTTCCAGATCCGTCGTTGACTCGCTTCATCGCTGCAGAGCTCACCAGAGGCTACTTCCTGGAACACAATGAGGCAAAGTACACAGAGCGCAGAGAGAGAGTTTACACATGTATGCGTATTCCAAAGGAGCTGGAGAAGGTACAAGTTCTGAACTTCATGTCTTTCTCTTCAACTTTCTCTCACTTGTCTGCTGCCGGTCTCAAAAACACACTCGTACTATTGTCTGTTTACAGATCACAGTGAGCTGACGGTTGTTGTTTCAGCTTGAATCTGTAACAGAATAATTGCTGCATGATCTTGATTAACTAGAATTTAGACAAAGTGATCCTGTTTTCACAGAGAATATTCAGTACAACTAAAACAAATCAGGCTCTGTTCTGTTCTACATGTAGAAAAAGTCATCTGCCATGTGTTTTACTAAAACAGTCTGTTTTTGTTGTTCCACTCTGTAGCCACCAGGTGACAGTGTTGTAATATAAAGTATGAATTCATCTTCATGCGCAATGCTTCTTGCTCAGAATACATTTCACACTCCATTATAGTTTGCTGGTACTATAACCATTAAAACATCAATGACAAACACAGGTGAACAGGCAGCGTGTGAGGAGTACTGACCTAAACTCTTGGGTTTAAATCTATTAATAGGAGCATTATTAATTTAGTTGATATATTTCCATGTTATGTAAAGGTCATTGTAAATGTTCTGGTGGGTTTTCTTTGCCGAAACACATCTGGACTAGTAAGCCCAGACTAATGTGGCGCTCTCTCACTTGGTTTTTTTCCTCGGGGGAGAGAGAGGAATGTGTGCAAACATGAAAGGCCTCAGTGAGTTCACTATGTTAAGCAATCTAACCAACTTCACCCGTGCCTGACAAGCCTGAAGAAAAGCCACACAGAATCCACCAATGAGAGACAGAACCTCCTTCAAACTTCCTCTCAAACTTACTCACCACAGTGCTCAAGTGTCATTTGAGTAAAGACAGATATCTGCATGCTGTTAATTTACCTCTTTTTAAACGTTTCTCTTTTGTGGACAACATGGCACTGTTTATTTTTATGAGTTCATTTACAAAGGTAAGTCTTTGTTTTGTGATTTGGTGTAAGCGTAGCCTCGTTCTAACTCCAACATGTGGTGGTAATAGCTTTCATATGGCTTTCCTGCACTGAGAAGGAACTCAGAACAGTTTACTGACTTGTAACTAGATGATGAGATGGAGTCTGAGCATGCTGATGGTCTTTGTTAAAATGTCAGTTGTTGTTTGACTTGAAGGTGTTACTTGTGTGTCTTTTCTAGCTGATGACCTTCGGCCTCTTCTTATGTGTGGATGCCTTCCTGTACGTCTTCACCCTGCTGCCCCTTAGGGTGCTGCTGGCCATGCTCCGCCTCCTCACTCTGCCATGCTGTGGCTTCAGGTCAGAACCCCCAAAATAACACTTTTAATGAACATATAAGAACAAATCATTGGGTTTTGTTTGTGTGATACAAAGATACAGATATTTGGCCTTAGGTTTGCACAATTCCACCGACACTGACAACTTTTGTAATGCTTGAAGTGATGATAATGTCTTTAATAATAACTGTGGCATGAGGTCAATATGAGAGATGTTATTGATAAATTGATCCAATTTCTCGATACTTTTGTCAGTAAACTGAACACAAATGATCCTACAGCCCAACGATTACTGTATTATACTGAACTTACATTGTTGATCTTGCTTGGATGTTTTTTATCATGTGATGCAAGAATTATTATTATTTTTTTTCTGAATGAATTGTGTATGCAAGCACTAGCAGACCACAGATGGCATGGAAGCGTTCATCACTGCCTGCAAAGTGTCATTATCTTATGGAGACATTTTGCCGCCCTGTTGTAAAATGAAATGCACAAAAATAACACAAATCATATGAAGGGAAAAGGATATGTTTTTCAGATGCTCACAAACAGCTGACGTTATAGTCTGGTTATACTGTTTGACACACAGAAAGATAGTATTTATACTCACATTAAGCAAACAAAAAGCAGTGAGAAAAGAAACAAAGAAAAGCTCACACTTAGTCAATGCTGCATCACAATATTTCATGGGGGGTAGTAGAGATACGGCTCAACTTACCCCGTTCCAATAGTCAACTTACCCCATACACAGGGTAAATTGACTATAGGAGATCACTTTTTTTGGCATGTTATATTATCAACACTGTTCTGTTTACACTCATTCTGTTGGTTTTCAGGGATGCACAACATCTTTAAATATATGCAGATATACTAGTTAGAGACAAAACTATGATTGACTTGATGTAGTGATCGGAAATATGAAAAATGGCTCATCTTACCCCACTCTCCCCTAACACTTAACTGAAACTCTGTGATTATTAATCTTTTTGCAGCATTGACTTCGACTGACAGTTTTCTTCTTTTTCCTGTTTGACATGTGTGCACAATTTTTCTTGAAGTACTGAAACATTTCTATAAAATCACAAGCAAAACATGAACAAAATGGCCATGCGAAAATAAAATACGAGTTAAGTCATTATAGACAAGGTCCTGTGTGGTTGCATCTTTTTAAAGAGGCTGTTCCCACACTCTCAGCTGTGGTAAAATTCATCACAAAGCATGATACAGTGTTAACTGTTTATACAGTATATATGCAGTTTACCTAGATTGTGTAATTAGCTTGAGTATTGTCTTAGAAATGAACACTCTTAGTGGTAATAGAGTTTTATTAAGGCGTAGTTTTCCTCTTCAGCATGTGTAAAAAACTTTGGCGAGATCTTGTGAAGTTTACTGTCCATCGATTATCAAACATCATCTCTTCATTGTTTTACCTTCAAACATCGTCATGTTGTCTTCTCTCTGTATAAAAGATACAGCAACAGTTAATGTCAGTGCCTTAGTAAGTGTCTGGTGCACCCGAGTCCCTCAGAAGGACACTCCCTGCCTGTCCCACTCTCTGTCTGACTCTTTCCTTGCCTTCCTCCCCTCCTGCAGGGCACGCACATGCCCCTACTGCAGAAGAAGCAGGTACGCTCCTTAACCCCTATTAAGGCCCCATGAATGTCATCACTGAACCGAACTGGCCTCCACATCCCTTCACAAGTTTCTCTTCATCTCTATTTTGTCCATCAACACACAGCCCTGCCCCTCATGCTGTGTTCTCCGAGCCAGACCGGCCTCGTTGGGTCTTCACAAGTTCTTTTATCTTTGTCATCCAGGGAAGATTTATGGGAGTGCATGCTCATCCTCATCACTGTGTTGCTTGTCAGAGATATAGCTGCACATGCTTTAACTGAAGTGCTTCTCACAGCACAGCTCCTCTGGAACAGTTTGGGGCACATTTGTCTTGTTTAAGGGGCGTTTATCAGCAGCTGCTGAGGAAGGTAAAAACTAGTCCTTCCTGTACAGAAACCCCCAGTTGCTCTGCAGAAGCAAAACAGCTTCTATTTTGACAGGTCTTTGCTTCTCTAACAAGCTTTTGTTATCAAGTTCAGGCCCTCTCCTCTGTTCCTGGTGCAGAGCCTTAATGCCTGCTCTCAGGCTAATACTGTATGAATGGCACATACTACTGGCTACTTGGAATGCAGCACATAGCTGACTGAACTCAAACATATATAATATTCACACGTGTGTTATGGAGATAATGCTTGTAGAAAAGAGATTGTGAAGACTGCTTTGTGCAGGCTTTGCCACCAGCCGGCTGCAGCAGCTTTGTGCCTCTGTGGAGCCGCACATTTAGTGGGTAAGATGCTCTGGTACCTAAAGCACCTGAATACTGAAGCTGTTTTCAACACTTTTTATAAAAGAAGTTTAAAATTGAAGTGTAAAAACATCAGTTTAGTCAGTGAGAACTTAACTGTGTCAAATCAGTGGATTGTTTGTTAATGAAAACAGTTGCAGTGTTGGTGTTGGTGCTCTAGCATCTCTTTTTGATCCCATTTATTTCTGGACATTATCATATTTGTTATAGTGCAACTCCAGTTCTAAAAATTCTGATTAAAAAAACATATTGGATCATTTAAACCCTGTATGAAGTGCAAAGAAAACACATCATATGAATTAATTTGATTGTTATTTTTTTCTAAAAACGTGAACCCATTTTGAATTTGATGTCAGCAACATATTTGAAAAAAATCAAGACAAGGACAATAAAACACTGACACAATAAAACACTCCCATAGGAACATTTCCCAATCAATCAAGTTGATTTTCAGCCGGTTTGTAGCATGACTGGTGTAAAAAGGTCCTTCCAGAGAGACTGAGCCTCACAGAAATATACAAAGATACAAAAAAGTTCAACACTCTCCGTTAGACTGTGTGAAAAAATAGCGCAGCAATTTCAAAATAAAGTGTAGTTACACAGAAATAAGGGATGTTAGGCGGCTGGGATCAAGTATCTGGCAAGAATGTGACAGCATTTCACCGTCTAAGTACCCAAACGTTAACAGAGCGAGTGCAACACAACAGGAGTGTTTCTGTCATCAGATTTAAAAAAATTTTCATAAAACAGTCGAATATTTCAGTTTTTTGCATTAATTTTACTTATTGATTGAATAGCACTGGATATATTGACTTAATCTGATCCAACGTTAAGTCAGCTGTCACACTCGTCTTCCTCTTCGTCATCTAACTTCTACATACAGCATCTTATAGAGTGAGGTAATTGCCAATTTGTTTACTCTCTGTTCTCGCCCCACTGCTTTTTTAGATCAGGGGGTTTATCCATGTCCACAAAGTACCAATGAAAGCCAAACACAGGATGAGTCTGTTTACTTGTTTTTACCTAATTTATGTGCACTCCTTCGACTCGGCTAGGTTTGAAAGTCTCTTGGGTTTTGCTGTCATCTACGGTGCATGATGTTTCACCACAGGCCACCCTTACTTACAGCTGCTCAGAGGGGGAGACAGCACCGCAATACGTGTGCAGCAAATGCCCTGCCAGCAAAAGGCCAACAAAACTAGACCAATCTATTATTAATGTTGCCCAAACAAAGATGTGCTGATGACAGGAGTAAATACCCAGTGGAATACAGTTCATTCAGGGTACGGTGGCAAAGATGCTGCAGGATTCCTCTTAAAGGACCAAACTATGTCCCTCGAGACAACAAAAGGCCACAAAGAATACAGAGAGGTTGTTCATTATCATGCTGCGATACAAGATGAAGAAAGGAAGAATAGATTAAAAAATAACTATGGTGCATGTAGGTATTTTCATAAACTTTAAATGAATATTTTAAAAACAGACTGTGTAGCATTTGAACTGAGCACTGCACTGCTCTGTTGAGAGGTAAAGGATGGATGTCAGGGGTCAATAAATCTTGGTTCGAAACAGGCTGTAGGCAAAAAGCTTCAGTTCTCTTATTACTTTCCTTCATCCATGATCTGTAGGTGCCCTTAAGCTTTTGTTGTTATTTTGAGGCTATGCATAGATTTGAACACCGGGTGGAGCTGTAGCACCAGGGAAACGAACAAGATGTTGTCAGTGTTCAACAGAGAGTAATATGAATCATAAGGAAAAACTGGGTTTGTATGTCATCGTGGTAGTCTTGTAAATCTTTAACATGTTGTGCCTTAAACTCTTACCGTTCTTTGGCCTTTAATGCTCTGGAAAAAGGCCCAGATGTTCCCCTCATCTCGCCGTCTTTACAACCCAGCTGCACACAGATTCAGAGGACTATGAGATACAGTTGAGCAAGTTAATTTGCTCATCTTCCACGAGTTGGGCTTTTATTTTTATCTCTTGGTTTGGAGTCAGGTCTTAAAAAAGTAAAGACACCTACACCTTCCACACACCCCCCCCCACTGAAACACAGCTTCTCTCCTTTTGTAAAAGCCTGAGAGCTGAGAGGATGGGGCCTATTGTCATGATGCAAGATTAACCATGAGCTGCTGAAGTTAATGAAGGTAATGATGGCTGTTAGAGCAGCTAATTGTCCTGCCGTGTGTAGAGCTCTAGTGAGTGAGTTTAGAATTGGTCCCTGTGTTCTCTTGTGATTTAGTCATTTAGTAATATCACAGTTATACCCTGTGGTTTTACTGTTTGAAGTGTCCTAGCAGCTGAAAGTTTCCTTCTTTAGAGGGTATTTGTTCGTAGGGCTGGGCGATAAACTGAAAATTTACAGATACTGAAAGTTACGACAATAACTGACGTCATTTTGCTCATATCGGTATATTCTGTGTCAAATATATAAATAAAATTTGGTCCCTTTAAGACGCTGTCCTATGTCGGAGACGTGACTCTACCCCCATCCAGTCCATAACAAAGAGGGAAAGACAGGTGAGGAGATGGAGGACGGTTCAGAAGTTGAAGTAGCTGAAGTCGACAAAGTTAATGTGGGAGGGGGTGAGCAGCTTGTGGAGTAGTTATCTTTCATTTATCGTTATCGAGGTGAACTGCTCAATATATTGTGACATTGATTTGAGGCCATTTCGCCCAGCCCTATTTGTTAGATAGATAGATTATCTTATAGATTATTTTGTTTTACAGTTGGCCAATAAAACTGCTTGATTAGAAAAATGTGCTACCATGGCTCTGTTGCTGGCGTGTCTCTGCTCTTGGTCTGTTTTCTCGCACCTCTTTCTTTCTCACAATGTTCAGCTCTCGACACTATCTGATTGCTTGACATCACACGATTATAATTATTAATCCCAGTATATATGAGGTTAAATATTTCAGCAGAGTTTTGTGTTAGAGTTTGTGATAATGATCTGTATGACCAACTATCGGCTGTCCCCTAATGAAACCCATAATGGAGGCGAATATTAAAGTCAGGATACATGGTCAGCCAGAGGCTCACATGGGGACTGGAGGAAATGGTTTTCCTGCTGTAGTTGGTGGGGGTTGCAGAAATAAAGGGTAGTCACAGAGCTGACATGTAGAGTATGCAGGACATCTTAAGAGTTAAGCTCTCTCTGGCTCTCCTCGGTTATCCCTGTCATAGTAAATAACCAGTTCTATGGATTTGTCAGCCCTTCTCTTAACATGCCCCAAAGCTGCTGCAGCAAACTATTGCTTTAATTATAAAAGCTGCATATGTTTGCAACATGTCAGTGACCGTTTAATATGTTTGGCTGCTCTTAAGGTTCCCATGTAGTATGTACATTTATTCTTTTTACTCTTACCCGTCTAGAACACTGCTCCTAAATGTACCTGCTTCAACAACAGAGATGCTCTGCGATGAATCCTGTTATGTTGTTCTAGTCTGTGTGAAAGATAAGAGCCACAAAGATCAAATCTTGTTGGAGCAATAGCACAGAACAAAACAGAAGCATATTAAAGGTAGAAGCCTTTTATTGAGAAGATAACGTTTGTGTCAAGGAGATACTAACTTTAATATTTAATATTGAGCTTTTATGTTATCACCACCTGTTGCCTTTTTTTCCCTTTATGTGTGATATTTTATTCCAAACAGAAAATATCACTTCATCCTGACTGAGTGTGTTGTCCCAGCAGCAGAGATCTTCTTCGGAGCTTCTTCATGTAGCTGTAGTCAGTCGTGTTTGTTGTTCTTGTCCTAGCTTATGTGTTAGTCTGAGTCAGTCTATCAGTCTATCAGTGAAGCAGATCATTCATTTACCTGGTATTGATGTTTGTCTTTGTCGGCGTACACTTGGATTGTATCTGGGAAAACAAGCACATGTAATTGTTCGGCAAAGGCGGCATAACCACAGGCTACATTTGCATGTGAATCATAAACACCATTTATAAACATACTGCATTATCCCAGCATGCCAGCGTGCGCTCATTGTTTGCAGACATTCTTAAATCCGTGACTTTCTCTGTATTCAACAAAGATAAACTCTGTGTTTTGTTTGTCTGTGTGTGTGTGTGTGTGGTCAGTGGGTCTCGGCTGCTGCAGCCAGCGCAGGTGTGTGACGTGCTGAAGGGCCTGATCCTGGTGCTGTGCTTCTCCATGATGCATTATGTCGACTACTCCATGATGTATCACCTGATCAGAGGACAGTCTGTGATCAAACTCTATATCATCTACAACATGTTGGAGGTAACTCACATGGAAACACTCACACCAGATATGTCACATGTAATTGTAGAATAACTGTCATCAAAGTCAGTGCATATACAGTCTGTTCTTGACAAATGCTAATGATGCATTGCACTCTTTCAAATAATTTTGGCAACATGAAATAAATAAATAAAAACTTCTTCTGAATTCTTGTAATCACCCTCTTTGACAGACTGACAGGCAATTTTCCCCCCGAGCTTGTTAGTGTCTCTCGCCTTCACACTGTGTCCCAAGACACAGCAGCATTAAAGAAAATGTTTGCCACCTGACACTGGAAGAACACCTGTAGCCTCCTTTTTGCAGATGTTGAAGCCTCTGATAACGAGCCAGTTCTATTCACTGCCCCAGATTTCTTCCACTTGACAGGAACATTTCGCTGGCTGACTACAAAATTCTCGATGTTTGAAAAGATTGAGGTGCAATATTTGCAAGAGTGTATTTGATGGAGTTAGAGCCCACTCTCTTTGGACTTCATGAGAAGAAACGTAAACAGTAGTTAGCCTTAGCTTAGTTGACAGCTTGAACAGGGGGACTGGTGTTATAGAGAAAGTAAAAAAGCCTAGAATACCAAACATACTTTTTCCTTTAAATCATATATTCTCAACAGCAACATAGTGCATGGAGCTGATGGTGTTGCATAGCTGCAGAACATAAAAAAGGCTTACAAATGGTTAAATATGCTGAATATTAACACAAGAGGCTCATAAAAATCATCAGTGGGCGTGTTGTTGTTCAGAGCATGGGTCAAAATACAAAAGTGCTGCAACAAAAGAACTGCAGAGAAAAATATTCCAGACTCAGAGTGTGTGTCCAGCTTTCTGCATAATGGTTCTTATTGAGAAAAATAAGAATGTCAACATGATTGTTAGTCCACTGCACGACCAGGTCAGAATTAATCCACTCAGGCAGGAGAAAACACGCTCAGATGGTTCTGATATTGGTATGCAGAGACACTGGCGGCCCAGCTTAACCAGTATTAGATTTATTAGTATTAGCTTTAGGGATAGTGCCATGTTAAAAGTTGTCTATAATGTCAGGTCTGGGGCTGTTGTGTATTACTGACCCCCCTAAAAAAGCCATTGCAGGGCTTGACTGCAGGACCCAGCTGAGTGTACTCACCTGTCACAACACCTTCAGACAGAGGCTTAGCAGCTTAAACCTGCTTTAAATTAAATACACCACCCTCATATGAGACTGTGCATTGATTATTTATTCCTGATAGAAAATCTTAAAATCTTTGTGATCTTCTCTGTCATTCCTCTGTAAGGTGGCCGACCGCCTATTCTCCTCATTCGGTCAAGACATCCTGGATGCTCTCTACTGGACGGCCACCGAGCCCAGAGAACGGAAACGAGACAGTATAGGAGTCATCCCTCACTTCATCATGGCTGTCTTTTATGTCTGTATCCTTCCTGTTCGAACCTACAGCAGAGAGATGTTATGTGTTTTCTCACTTTCCGGCATTTGACAGATGACATGATATGAAATTACTCTACCATTAAAAAAAAACTCATTTGTAAAACATGTGAGCTTTCTGTTTCTGCTGGAAAAGATAAATGAAGCTGCTGTTTCATTACTTTGTGAAAATTAACCGTAATGATGTACGGTTTGATTTTCCTCCGACAAAAGCAAAAAGTGGGTAATTTTTCATATTTGCTTCTATAAATCAAATGAACTTAAAATAACCATATTAGTGTCAGCCTGGTCAGAAGCTGACGTGTTTCTCAGACCTGTGGTTTTCAGCAGGTGGTCTAAGGAAGTTTGATATTCACTCAGTTTCAAAAGCTGTTTCAGTCATTTGTTTTCCTGAATGATTGTCGGTCAGTCCTCCACTCCATCCTCATCATGGTCCAAGCCTCCACTCTGAACGTCGCCTTCAACTCACACAACAAGTCTCTGCTCACCATCATGATGTCCAACAATGTAAGGCAAACACCCGTTACCACAGACTATCCGAGCCCGACTGTGATTACTCAGGACATTCACGTACATAATTTCAATGCGGATCTTTCCTTGTAAATTACACTTGGCACATGGATGATGAAATGCCACTGATGCAGCTGCAACCAGATTGTTTGTTTTATACTAACTGGATCATAAACGCTGCTAACTGCGTTTGTTTCTTTGTCCCTCTGTTTCCTCACACACAGTTCGTGGAGATCAAAGGAAGCGTGTTCAAGAAATTTGGGAAGAACAACTTATTCCAAATGTCGAACAGTGGTAAGATATTCAGCGTCAAATCAGATATAACACTTTAATGTAAATTTATAGATTCATTATTAATCATTTAACATGTTGGAAAAGAGGAGGAAGACACCGCCGCCGCTAAAATAAATAAATAAATGAATGGATTAAGATAAAAAATCCAGAGCTGTTGAAATTAGTGCATTTTGTTTTGTTTCCCTTCTGGTTTGATGTTGTCAGCCTGCACAGAATTAACATTTGCATAAATTAAAAACTTGTATGAATATTCATGGACTCTAAATGTCTCAGTCTCCAGGATCCATGATTATCATTTGCTGCATTCACTCATCGCTGCTCCGCTGTTACAAAAAGAGAAAACTTTGTTGCAAATGGAGCTTTTTTTTTTTGTCACACAAACAGTTCTACAGTGAAAAATCAAAGTCGATCATTTTCAATCAAACCCTGCCATTATTGAACTGCATTGATTAGTTTGAATTTTCCATGAATGACGATAGAAAGAAAGGAAGAAAATCCTCAGACAGACTTTGGCTGAACATATTGTGCTAACCTGACCTGACAGCATTGTCAGTGTTAAGCATCAAACTATAGAGAAGCATTCAGCGCAATTTTGGCAGATGGGGTTCCTCCTGTTCACACATTGTGAATAGAAGAATGTGAGTGTATCCATTTGGCTCTCCGAATAGAGATATTAAATGTATTGTTCATGTTCCCTTTGATTCCCTGAGGCAGTAGGCTTTATCTGTGTCACACTTATTGTATTCTAATGACAGCAGAAGAGAATAAGCTTTAATCAGCTGCCATTCCCCTCCCACTGCTCGCTCACATCTTGGAAGATTTCCTCCTTATGAGGCTGAGCAATGGCACTAACTAGCGTGGCATTATCAGCACAGATGATTACATGGTAAACGTTTGCAGCTATGTTTTGAATTATAGTAAATGGATGTTTTGAGCGCACGATAAAGCCAGTTCAATGATGCTGCTTACAGCACTGACAAATGTAAAACCTTCCTTCACACCTTTATCACCACCTGTGTAATCACATAACTGCTGTGCAGGGAAGCCAGATGGGAGTGAAAGTTTCTGTCAACATGTTTTGAATGTTAATGCTTCATATCTAACTTTTACTGTTGTTGTGAGATTGTAATTTCAGAATTGTTGATTTGATCATGCAGATATCAAGGAGAGGTTCACCAGCTACGTCCTGCTGTTGATCGTCTGTCTCAGGAATATGGAGCAGTTTGCATGGAACCCAGGTAATTATCTGTTTTTCTCCTAAAGCAAATGTCGTCAGACAGCCTGCTGTCACAGGGTTGTTCATCATTGTTTCATCATTGTTTTTGAAAACTCCCAGTGCTGATCATGGTAGAAATTCAATTAAAATACGCTGAGCTGCTTCTTTCCTCCTGCTTGGGTTTTGAGTTGACCCACTGCTCTACCTTGGGAATCGTCTTGTCACAAACTTCAGTAAAATGCAACAGAGCAGTGTGAAGGATAAAAGCAGGGCGTTTCTGTGTGACAGCCCTCTGAAAACAGTCATCTCCTCCTGCCAGTCTCAAAAACCCCGCACACAGTAGATGACAGATGTAGCCTGTCAGCTGAAATCATTACACTGATGTGCTAATACTGGCAGAATAACTACCTTCTGTTGCTAAAGACGTATACTTATTACAAGTCACCGGTAATTTACTTATACTCCATGCTGCATTAGCGGTGAGTGCACTTCTTTATTCACACAGCAGAGGAGCAAAAACCCCTGCTTAACATTTTAAAGTTCAGAGAATGTCCCCTGTATCCTGTAGCTTTTCTGCAAAGGCTTCAAACTGGCGGTGCTTGGTTATGTTTTGCTGCTTTATGATACTTGCTCGCACACCTACATGCTTAGAACAACAGTTTTTGTTGAGCTGCCTTTACCAAGTGCTCCTGTGATATCATTGTGGTTATAAAGTTTTAAAAATTTATAGTTGGAAATAGGGATGGGAACCGGTTCGAAATGGTTCAATCCATCGACATCATTTACATCTTAACTTAACGATTCCCGTAAAGATTCCTTTCTTCCGGGTGCCTTGAAAAACGGTCTTGCGAGAGCCAGTCTACGCGAATGGGAACAGAGACAGAGGGAAAAAAAAGGCGGACGGTACGAAAAGTTGGCAGAAATGATCTAAAGCGTGGCTTAATTTATTAAGAAAGACGACAACAGTGCAACGTTTGTCAAGCAGTGATAACATGCAGAGGTGGCAACATTGGGCAGGGCATTAAATATAAGGAGTCAGATGTATGCGATGCTCTCAGCTGGTTGTCAGTCGCTGCAGCTCCATCTCAGCACGGCATTGAAGGTACGTATGTTAGAGTGACCATACGTCCTCTTTTACCCGGACATGTCCTCTTATGGGGGGCTGTCCGAGGGGAGGTTATAAAAACCTTAAAATATCCGGAACATGTATTCATTCATTATGAAACAGTGCAGAGCATCAGTGCTCTCTGCAGCTCTGCCCCTCTGCTCACGTCTATGCAAAGCCACTGACACGACACACGCATGCACTGTCATTGAGAATTCTAAATATGCTTTTAACTGAGTTAGAAGCACATAATAAAAAACACTTGACCAAACCCAAAAAAACCACTCAGAATTTCCCACACAAGCCTGCCCAGTGTAGTAGTGTCCTCTTTTTGGGGAGTCATAAAATGGTCACCCTAACGTATGTCCTGTGTTAACGTAAGCTCAATGCATGTCAGAAATGCTGCACAAATAACATTTTTATTTGATTATTTTTAGACTCTCACTGAAGGTGGCGTACATCTTTTTCTGTTATCAGAGACTCAATAAAATTTTGAGTTAACGATCAAAACCTACAGTCTCCTTTTTTTTTTTAAATTTTTAATCAAAGAAAGGCATTGATAAGGGAATCGTTAAAGAATTGAATCGATAAGCAGAATCAATAATAATAATAAAATCTTATCAATTCCCTAGGTGGAAAAAACACAGGTAGCCAAATTAGGGTCGCTCTGACTTGCATTAAACTTGCAGTTTTCACCACAATGTTTATTTTTGTTGTCGTCTGATGATTGACCAGAGAGCACTTTGTCTTGTTTCTTTTTTTTTTGTGGTGAAAATCAAGTTTCTCGTGTTGTTTTCCCCTTCAGATCACTTGTGGGTGATGTTCCCGGATGTTTTCATGGTTGTTACCTCTGAAGTTGTCGTCGACATCATAAAACACGCTTTCATCACCAAATTCAACGACATCACAGCAGATGTAAGCCGGAGTCTCAGTGTTCATTAACTCTTGAGGAGACTAGTTGCACACTGATGTGTCTTCTCCAGGGAGAAATGATTTTGCTTGTCTGGTTTTGCTTTGTCTCCAGGTGTACAGTGAATACAGAGCGAGTTTGGCCTTCGATCTCGTCAGCAGTCGACAGAAGAATGTGAGCTGTCTTTTCTTCCACAATAACTCTATTATACTTGCAGAAACAGCATTTAGCCTACGCAGCTAATCAGTGCAGTTTTGTTGAGGTCTGTTATCTGCTCTCGTCCATCTCTGTGTAGGCTTGTACAGACTACAGTGACTCAGTAGCTCGGAGGATGGGCTTCATCCCCCTCCCCCTGGCTGCTCTGGTAATACACATTCAGACATTAAATACCAGGACAATTTTTCAAGTTAAAAGCGTGGAAACAGTACCCAGAACCTAAAAAAATCTGTGTGTAAGTCTTTATTAAGCTGATTCCAATTTAGTTTGAATTCATCATTTTTTATTTGTCCTTCAAATGTTTCACAGCTCATCCGAGTGGTAATGAGTTCTGTGAAGGTGCATGGAGCTCTTTCATACACGTGTGTGTTCCTCTTTTATCTTGGGTAAGTCCACTGCAGTTGCACTCCTGATGTTGATATTACTGTCTTATTTAACAAAGCCCTACCTTTGCTGAAAATGTGGTCAACCATCGGTTATTACATAGCTGTATTTGTCATTTATGATGCATAATAATTATTGGCAAATTTTGCCGTCAAAAACGTGTATTACATATTTACATTCTTCTGTGCACAACCGCCATTCTCCTCTGTTTTTGTCTCCCAGTTGATGAAATCCACACAGCTACTCACTAAATACAAAAAGGCTCAATATTAACAGTTGATTCATCTAGTGCCTCATGCAGATGGCAGCCTCCATGGAAGATCTGCTTAGATAGACAAAGATGTAACAGGCTCTTTCTAACTCACTAAAAACGGTTATAGTTTATATGTAGGTGATTATACACCAATTTAAATAGGCTTTAAATTCTCCATTTCTACAAGGTCTGTTCTAAATGCTGCTTACTACCACACACTGCACCTTTAATTACATGTGTGCTTCTTGTCTGTAATCTTATGTAAAAGAGGTGCAGACTACTGCTGTGATTTGAGGCTGTAACTGATTTTAATTTCACATAAATGCACATTAAGCTTTTGATAAGGCGTTGTAATTCTTATCCACTTTGTAAAAAATAATTCGATTAGCGACATTTTTGTAAGCTCAATTATTCAGTTACATATCAGTGAAGAGATATTTGAGTGCTGTATGTTTCAAACACGCAGAGTAAGGCACTCAGTTTTACATGTTCTTACACATAAATATGCTTGCGGGGTCTACTGGATGCACACTTACACATGCAGGGACTGTCATAAGCAACATGCAGATCCGGACACACGCAGTTACATAAGCATTAAGACTGTGCCCTCACATTCTCCCTGTGCTGCTGAGCTGCTGATAGCCTCGCTCCTTCTCATTTGCCGGATCCCGTTGGTCTTGTACCGTTGAAGAGATTCCCTCAGGGTGAAGAATACAATGTTGTCATCTCTAGTGCCATCTCTGGCCTTCCCCACCCCCTGATTTAAAAATAGCTCCGGTTAGCACAGACCGCTGTGCCTTGGCAAAGATTCAGCTGTGCTGAGTCTCTCAGTCCGAATCGCCCTGTCACAGCGAGTGGTGGTCCACAGACCCAAATGTGTCCATCTTTTTCTCATCACGGTGACAGAGGCCAGCCTTAAAGCGAAGCCCAGAAACACAGAAGGATGGTGCACATCAACATCCCGGTGTCAGTGCTGGGATGTGAATAGTGGCGATTGAAACCAGATGGTAGAGGAGACTCATTATAGCTGTGGCCCAGCTCATGACAGCACTGTGATAACTCTACTGAATCTTAGCACTGAACATGAAAGATTCTCAGCTATCATTATCTCATAATCTTCTTTATTTTTATAAATAGTTGTTAAAATAATTGCTAATTAACTGTACATCTTAATGTTGATTACATCAAGCAAACAGACAAGTATAAGAAAAATCCTTTTTAGTCCATCACAGAGGCAACAGCAGAGAAGTTCATCTGATAATGTTTGTATGTGACACTTCTTTCAGTTAGGAGTGGAGCTCTCCTAACAGCAGTCTTCTCCCTCTGCAGGCTGGTCTCACTGAAAGTGTTGAACAGCATTGTGCTGCTGGGGAAGTCGTGCATTTACGTCAAGAGAGCCAACATGGAGGACAAACTGTTTGAGAGGCCCACTACATCCACATCCTCCTCGGAGAAAAGCCCTGACCAAGCTGAAGACAGGTGCCCCCAACCTTCAGGTAAAAAACAAAATAAAACTCCTTTTTTTTGTTTTTTTGAGAACTCAGGGTGTCGAGAGGCTCCTTTTTTTGGACAAATATGAGGCTCTAGTGAAAGAGCATAGAAGATAGATGGATGGACTGAGAGATTTGATTGATTGATTTCTATTTCTTGCATTTGATGTATCACTACAGTCACTACACACGTGCTTTGCGGTTGGGTTCAGGGTTAGAGATTTGAAACCGTGAAAGGAGTTAGTTGATGAATCACCAGAGAATTAGCGGCTGAATCTGCAGCCTTATAAAGATTAATACTAAGTGTCTTGTCAGAACCAAGCAGCTCAATTTGAGATAAGTTCTAAGAGAGTAGCTTTAAAACATGGCGGAAATTTCACGGCTGCTTTGCTATTCTGCCCGCAGATCAGCCTTGAGTTGGCCTTTTGAAAGATGATATAAGAGCATAAAAAGTCGGATATACAAGTTTTGAGACATGTACAGCTTTTACATACATACATTATTTAACGATCTCCAAATATAAAGCGGGCGCATTATGCATTGAAATGTTATTGTGCGCTCATATCTTCAGCATGAAAAACTCTGAGAGCTAGCAGGAACCCTCAGCTGGAGGTCATTATACAGAGTGAGCACAGCAGTTTGATTTTAGATCTAAATACAGGAACTAAAAATAATCATGTAAATTTTTGAAGCTGATGTGCAAGAAAAAAAAACAGAATTTCACAAAATCTTCTAATCAGAGAACTTTGGTGGAGAATTTTCTACACATGTAACATTTTAAAAAGTGTTGAGACCTGAGAGAGGATTCTAGTAGTTCTCAGGAAAAAAAAATCCAGCAAATGAGACGTCCTGGGATTTAATCTTTCTTATGAATAATGCTGCATGTTGCTCTCTCTGCCTCCCACTCGCTCACTGATCTCTCTTGGCGCTCTGCGGTTCGATAGACTATGTGTAATAAAACAGAATTGTTTCACAATCATCAAAAACACACAAAGAAAAAACGGCTCTGTATTAGTTTAGAATTGAAGATGGAGATAGTCTTAAAAATCATATTTAAATACTTCTGGGTGTCAAATTCCTGTGTCAGTCCAAAACATCTTCAAGCTTACTGAACTGCTCCTACCTTGGGTTTATCAGGTCCATTTTTAGGCATTAAGCTGACACTTTAATTTGCATTTCCGGGCATTTAGCTGAAACGTGTTTCTAGACAGATGTGTCAGAGCAGGTGGGAGCTCAGTGACCAGATTCAGTCTGTGCTATCGTTTATCAAGAAAAGAGAAATTAGTTTGACTAATTATCAAGTCTGAAAAAACAACTCAGGAAAGTTGGGAGAAATACTGAAACCGGGCCAGCAAACTTGATATTTTGACAAGAAAGATCGAGCCAGATGGAGTAAAATAATGAATCTGCAGCTGGAAATGTGATATAAATCATTGATATTGTGTTTTTGGTTGTTGTTTTGTTTGTGGTAATCTCTGACATATGGAGTTGTCAGCTTATAAGAAAAACACCCCCTCTGTCTGTATACATAAATTTTATTGAATAATAATAATTTAATTTCAGTGAGTTAGCTGTCCAAATTATAAACATTAAGTGAATTATTGCAACTGAGGATTAAGCTCTGTGTCAGCACTAGCTTTATCCTGTCAAAATAAGAGTGAGCTGGTAGAAAACAAATCAAAGGTGGGCCATTTTGACTGTAGGTAGCCTCGAAGCTATAGAACTGGATTAGTATCTCACAGTATAGGGTTCATAGTGAGGCCACTAGTCCTCCACCAGGGGAATTTAGGATTTTGATAAACATATATATGCAGCATTTGTGGTGGATATTTAATAATTTAAAAGGAAAATACCAAACTGCTTGTTATTGCTGTTGAAAAAATAAACTAATGTAGAAAGTTCACCTTCTAGAGTTGATCACTGTTAATAGTGAAAGACAGAGTGAAAGCTGTCTCATATGAACAACATCCTAACGTCATTGATCTGTGGTATTGTGGTGCAAGTTATATAAAATCCAGTGACTAACAAAGTCGTATATGTCTGTGATATATGAGTGTAGTCTAGACCTGCTCTTGTTGCAATCGTCTTGGGATAACGACTATTGTGATTTTGTGCTATATAGATAAAAATTGATTGATATTGGTTGATTGATATATGCTGCAATTCTTCAAATATCATAATGGTATTCTGCACAAAATGTTAGGGCTGGGCGATGTGGCCTCAAATCAATATCATGAAATATTGAGCAGTTCACCTCATTAACAATAAATGGACGATAACTACTCCACAAGCTGCTCACACCCTCCCACATTAACTTCGTCTACTTCAGCTGCCACTCCAGCCGCTGCAACTTTTGAACCGTCCTCCATCTCCTTGCCTGTCTTTCCCTCTTTGTTACAGACCATAACCTCTTTGTTAATGAGACCATAGCCTACCTACCTACACGCATCCAAAACCAACTTTTATTTATTTATTTTTTTGACACCAAATATACTGATATGGGCAAAATTACATTGGTTATTGTCGTAGCTTTCATTATCTGTAAATTTTTGGTTTATCGCCCAGCCCTACAACGTGTAATAAGAGGAGGATGGTTCTTTGATAGTAACCACCCCATTTTCATTTGGACTCTGGTGGATGATTTGTTATTGACGTTAAAGGTAACCCACTAATCTGTTCATTATAGGCCTGTAATCGTGTCTCTAATAGTGCTTACTATGTGAGTGTTTTTCACTGCTGTCAATGATGTTTTCTAGTGTTTTCTGAAGCCGCTCAGTATGATTATACACCCTCTCTGCAGGAAAAGGTGTTATTTGTTGTTTTCTTTAACAGTGTTTGCTATTAGTAATCAAACAGAAGTTTTGTTTTCAATCAGCGCCCTGCCTTACAAATACTTACATATATAGAGCAGATATCAGCGTAGGGGCTGGAGGCGGATACAGATGAAAAGAGACACTTTCTTATGCTTGTGTTGATAAGAAACAAAGGCATGTGCTCCTAAAGTACAGGAAAAACACACCCAGACAAGTCATTTGAAGTACTTGGCTGAGATAAACAATGGAAAAAGTTTGTGGCTGTAGTTAAGTGATCAACAGGCTGTTTGGCCAACAACTGGAAGAGGCAGGAACACCTTAAAGTGAAAAGTTTAGATTTAAACAATATGACACCTTTATATGGTGTAATTTCTTTGATTAATAAAAATGGTTAAAGCAGTATGTCGCTTAATTTATACTTTTATCCCAGCTGCACTTAAGATTTCTGCTTTTCTACAAATTAATGTAAATCACAGGATTCAAAACTTGTTAAAGGGATAGTTGTAGGTGTAACATGTTCTGCTAATCCCACACAAACTTGTGAATGCTTCAGCTTAGTGATGAATATGTATGCCAATTTGCACTGATTCCTCACTGACACTGTAAATTACTTAAAAATTAATCATGAACTCAAGCCTCTTCAGACTTTGGATGAGGTTGTGTCTTTGAGACCATCATTTTTGACAGATCTAAAAAACATAAATCAGCAGCAAGCAGACGGTCCAACGTTCAACTATTTACACATGAATAGATCTATTAACATTCATGTGAATTTCTTAACAACCTGTGAAAAAAAGGCCCTCTCTCTGAAGCACCCAGACAATGAAACACAGATTTGGAGGTGGCAGTATCTCCCTGTCATCCACAGCCAAATCCCTGCAGATCTTTTCTGCATGTGCGCCTCAGACCCGCCTGCTGCGCTGAGCCAGGAGCTTTAAAATGACAAAGATCCTGATGGTGCATCATGTCATATCAAACATCAAAGCTCCTGCCAGTGCAAACAAATCTGGTTTTCTCAGAAAGCGGCAGATACAAGGCTTAAGGCGCTCTGCTCCTGCACATCCCAGAATTATTCTTAGAGGAGAATTAATGCAAGTCTCCTTCTGCTTTCCACATATTCAGCAGCTAGGATCTCAACCAGCAACCTTGCATCACATGCTAGCTGTTCTGACATTAAAATGCCCGGTCTGTGCCTCGAGGTTCACCTGCTGCTCCAGTGGGTTCACTGCACACTCAAGTTCATCTGCACTTCTTTGTCTTTATGATGATCTGTATTCACATTGCACTGGCTTTGCCATCTGTCTATACTGCATGTTATTGTCCAGAGGGCAGAAATGGGTAATGAGGGCTGTCCCATCAGCCATTTCAAGCCCCATATGGTGGCAAACTTTCACTAAAATTCACATATCTACCAGGGAAACACTCAAGTTCATGCTCAGAGTGAAAAATATCTCTCCCTCATCTTTTTGGAATCTTTTCTCCCCCCTAAGAACTTTTTATTTACTCACAAGCTGGTTGGTAACTTTGCACACCTGCTGCCTCAGTCTGGACAGATATTGTAAAGTTGGTTTATCAAAGCTTTCTTAGAGAGCACAGTGTGTAGTATTAGGTCTCAGCAGAACAGATTTGGTAGAAATAAAACAATAGTCCTAATTATGTCTAAATGAGTGAATAATCACCTGAATTTGACTCGTTTTATTTTCGTTTGCTCTGAGTGAACCTTCTTATCACACTCTAAGAATGAGTCTTTCATATCTAAAAGGATCCAGATTAGTTATGCATCACAAGAGTTTCTTGTCCTCTAAGGCCACTGTTACTTACATAAGTTCACCAGCAGGAGGGGTGTGCAAGGGAGCATTTCAATCTGGAATCTGACAGCTTCATATCACTACATATTCTCATTTCTAGTATAGAGCACTGAAGCTGCCAAAACAAAGTGAAACCACTCTACAGCGAGTCCAACTCTGAATCTACTGTGTCCTTGCAAGAATGTTTACCTGATTTAAAAAAAAAATGAGCAGGATACTGAAATGTTCTTATCTGGTCCTTGGAACAAATTAAAGTGAAGATAAGGAGGAAATAGAGCTGGATGAGAAATGTTTGTTCCTGTTTATTTACTGAGTATCAACAGCACGCCTTTTTATGAATTCCACTCTGATTCACTGCTGAATTATTCAAACAGAACCTGGAGGTAATACAACACCTCAGCCTGACGTTTTCTAATACTCAGCTGACCTCAGATGCCTGCTTTCATGGTCTGTATGATATTTGTAATGCTTTTGAGAGTCTTATTAAAACACTCTATCTGTGTGCTCAGTGGGTTGCGGTAGCTCTGTACAGTAAAGTGTCGGTTCAGCTCTGTCTACAGTAAGAATTAAAAGTTTGTTCTAGCTCAATAGCCCCGGGCTGTGCTCCTCTCTATGGACGGCCTTGTTAATATTCCCTCTAATATGATGAATTATTCTGTTTGTGTGATTTTTCTTTTTTAATGTAATGCACACTGCGCTCTTAGGCTTTGCAGTGTTTTCTCTGAACGCGGTGAAGTTTTGGTGCGAACCAGCTGTGTTTTCTCATGTTTTATGTCAACCTTCTTCTCGGGTCGCGTTTTATTATTCTGCCTCTGTGCTGCTTTGAAACAGAGCAGTCAGGTGTGTGTGTGTACACTGGCTGAGTGGAGGAGCAGGCAGGTTGAATCCCTCCATGTCAATCAAGCCAGAACACCTTCACCTTTCCTACAGACTGAGAATCAATGCTGGTAGACTGCACATCTCCTCCTTCCATACTGCAGGAGAAACAGGAGAAGTTGCAATTAAGGGGGAGATGGAAGCAAAATTAACTTCTAGGACTGGGCAGTGTGGCAAAAAATATGATCGATATATATTTTGTCATATCGCCTGATCTCAATTACTATCACTTTTTTTTTTTAACTGCTGGTTTTAAAGCATCTGTACTAAAAACTAAAGAAACTAGAAATTAGTCCAACATTTTATTAGCATACAAAGTAAATAAAGCAAATTAAAAAAGATAAACATAGAAAAAGATAGATATATAAAAACATTTTATCTCAACAGAACAACAAAAGTAAATAAATACTGAATAATACAGTGAACTAGTTTACAGTCCTGAGTGTTTTTGCAGGTATGCAGGACCCAAAATAAACAAATTTCCCCCTAAGGGATAATGAAGACGCCTTAAAATGTAAACATTAGATGATGTGAACGTAAATGATATGTTGGTTGCTGCTTTGGTCTGGTAGCTGCACCGCTAGACCAAACTGTTTATGCTACTCGTGCCGTCAGCAGTGGCAGGCTGTGCAGACTCCGCCCACATTTTCATGCTTTCCGCATAATCACTCAGAAAGTACTTCTTCAAATGATTAAACAGATCTGTTGTGTTGCCGGTTTGTGAGGGCACCGACCGCCAACATACCTCACACATCAGCTAAATTTTGCGACATCACTTTGGAGATACCCAAACCACCGCTACACAACCGACGTTGAGTAACTTTTCTTCTCAACAATAACATCTTCAGAGGATGACTCAAAGTCATGACTGACATCTATTTTGCTGCCCTCAGCTCCACGTTTAGCTCCACGGTCATTCTGTTTACTTCTCCTGTTTACTTCTTCAGCAACTAAGTGGAGCAGGAAAAGCTCAACTCTCTGATTGGCTGTTGTCACGCACATTTTCGCCATGTTTAATCGAGTAAATATGCCCACAGCCGATCACCATAATCGAACTGAAATCACGAGCATAAATCACGATCATATAATCGCCCAGTCCTAGTCTGCAGTTACTCCCCGGAGCTCTTGCTGCTAAACTGACATTCAAATTCAACTTTATTTTTATGGCACTTTTCAGACAAGAAATGCAGTTCAAAGTGCCTCACAGAGGCTAAAAACAACAATTAACAACAATAAAACCCGAACCTCCCACCCAAACAACCACCCAAGGACCCACACGCACACAAAGACACACACCCACCCTCACTCACCCACACATACACTCACACACACACACACACACACAAGCACACAGAGTGTGAGATTTTAAGATATATTGTTAAAGAGACATGGCCTGACACCGAGACATTACGTGAGGAAAGAGACACCTTTGGGAAACACTGGAGATAAAAGATTAAAAATAGAAAATGGTAAAAGGAAAGAGTAAAACCTGATGGACTAAAACAAGAAAATAATATGAAATGAACAGAGTGAGAGCTCTTTACCGTATAAAAGGGGTAAAAGAAGTAAAAACCTCTAAGACAGGAGTTCAGAAAAAGACTAAGAACAGAGATAATTAATAAAATGACATGAAATGAACAATAAGAACTTTGATTAAAATGAACATTTGCAGTAAGAAAATTATAAAAAGGCAGGTAGTGAAAGAATGATCAACAATGATGATAAACAATGATCACCTTTTAACCTTCCTCTTTTTTATACTGGCGAAATCTAACAGCTTTTGGTTCTGGCTCCGCAGACATAGAAGTGATATCAATCTTTCTGTGTTACTCTGCAACAAAGAGTTTAAAGCCATATTACCAACAAATAATAGAAATAAAAAGACAAACAAAAAATCTGGATAATTTCTTGTCATTTTCACAGCTCATCTAACCGGCTGTGAATCTGTTTTTAACGACACAATCATCTTCACAGACTGAGTCATTGCTTTCATTCAACACTGGCCCTCCAAGCGTGTGTAGATGTGTAAACTATTTTTAAATCTCAAGTCTATTAACTGAAGTGATTGTTTGGCTCTGAGTTCTGGCAAACACAGTTGACCTACACTCAGCTCGGGGCCTGAAGGCGTCTCGTGTCGTGTAAACATTGTGTTAAGAGTCAATCAGCTGCAGTAAACAGGAAGCAGGCTGAGCAACCAAAACGTCACTCACCCATACATTCTCTCTCTTTGTCATTGAATGTTTTGCTCCACTATTCTTTGCAGGACAATCCAAAGTTGAGGAGATCCCTGCCCCACCCTACAGCCCGCCATACTCCTCCTCAGTGACCACACAGCCCACCCCCAGGACTGACTTGTTTCCTCCTCCAACCTCCGATTCCTCTCCTGCCACCCCAGCCTGCCGCCCTCCTACTCCAACACCTGAACCTGAACAAGCTGTAGCATCCCTCTCCAAAGAAGAGGAGAGGGAGACACAAGAAGACTCAGAGCTGAAGCACAGGACTCCTAAAAAAGACCTGCTGGAGATCGACCGCTTCACTATCTGTGGTAACCGCATCGACTGAGCAGCGGCAGCCCCCCAATGTAGCGATTAACCACTCAGGAAAGCCGGAGAGCAAAGGGCCGTTCGGGCTGACTCTCCCGGCTAACAGCAGCAGACAGCTGAGTATTTATGAAAGCCAGTGGTGGTACAGTAAGTTAATGTGAACATGGACGTTCTGTGTCTGACAATCCCGCTGCTGCCAAAGCCCGAAGTCAAGGAGTTTGACAAAGAAAACTTCAGCGGGCTGATAAACAGCAGGAGACAGAGTGTGACTGTGGCAGCCCAGTCGTCACGATGAACCGTCAGTGTGAGAGCGTGACTCTGTGTGTCTGTTTGGAAGTGTTGGTGTGGTTCAAAGTGAGCAGGTGTGAACGTGTGCGTGCGTGTGTGTGTGTTTATGAGAGCAGCCTATGTGTGAGTGTGAGAGCACATAAGCACTTCCTGTCAGAGCATCACTGGGACCAGAAGGAGCGGAAAACTTATCAGTTGCCACAAAACACAAAATTCCAAACTCATAAATTATAGGAATACCCGAAAGGTCTTTAACGACTTCAGGTGTTTTCCCTCTCCTTAAAACACTCACTTCAGAAGTATAAGGTTTGTTTTAACCTGTTGTTTTAACTAATCATCCAATTTATCACAAAAATAACAGCTGTCTACACAGAACATACTGCTGCCTGAACAGCAGAACAGTGAAGTCTGGTATCGACTCAAAGTTGGAAAGGCTCTCTCTTCAGTATGAGACTTACAGCCAAAGTTCCCAGACTGAAGGTCATGACCCACATATGACTAAGTAAAACTTATCTGGAGGGTTATGTAGACAAAATAATGAATATTCTGGCAGAAGTTTGTTTTGAGAGGTTAAAAAGCCAAACTGTTGAGGAGACACAGCTGTGAGCAGTCACACACTGGTTATATACAGCAGAGGAGCTCATGCATTTCTCTCTTTATAAGTCTTAACCTCTTTGCAACTTGAATCTGAACTGTTTCGGAGCATCTTTGTACTTTACACTTTGAGCTTTGATAGAGATATGAATGTCACTTTTCATGAGAGCTTGATGCCGAGCTTTTTTTGTTTACAGGCCAACAGACTCCTTTGTTTGCAGGCTGCAGCCCTCTGCGAGTAAATTATAGACCTTTTGGTTAAAGTGTCCATTAGCTTCCAGTCAAATGCACTAAATCACCTGCTTCTCCCAGCTGCTCCTGGAGATCGACTTTATAAAAAAAAAACAATGTGAAGCCAAAAAAGAAACGCTAAAACTGCTGAAAGATGAACTGCAATTCTCTTCTTCTATACGGTACACAAGGCAGCCAAATCATTACCCAAAATATCCTATAATATCATGTTTATCACTGATAATTATTACATCATGTTTACCAAGTGTCATTTCATTGATAATTTGTATTTAAAGGTACAGTGTGCAGAATTTGGCAGCAAATGAATATGATACTCATAAGTTTTTTTTAACAAATGAAGTTTTTATTTACCAAAAATTAACCTTATACATCTCCGTAGCAACAGCCCCTTCAACAGCATCTTGTGCCGCCATGTTTCTGCCGTAACACAGAATTGATGAACTTGAAACATACAAATAAGTTCCTTCTTGTCCTCCAAGGCGGGGAACCGTTTCAGTCTAGTGTCTACAAGATATTTCTAAAAATTTCCGTTTCTGCGCACTGTACCTTTAAATTCTCATCCATGTTCGGAGAACGTTTGCACTGATGGACCATATTGTCTTAAATGTGATGGGTCACGTTTCTCATTTGACTCAAAGGTAATGTTGTAATGTTTACATTGTAGAATAGAGAAGCAATACTTCCTCAACAAAATGCCTTTTTGCATGCGTGTTTACAGTTTGTTGATTTTGATTTAGACTTTTCCTTAAAAAATAATATATAAATATATAAATACAAAAAATTATAATTGATCCATTATATCATCTAGCTGTCATTTGTCAGCTTTGTTTGTTTATTGAGTGTCAGAAAACTATAATATAATATTCTACTCCTGATATAATAAGAGTTTTATTATCAAGCAAATATGCCATAAAGTTTAGCAGCCATGCCAAATATTTAATTCATGTCCACTGACTTTTGTTGTGTGATCTACTAAGTTATGATTAATAATAATAGTTTGGTAGTATGTAGTGGTTCTTGGGCATTTTCAAAGTGCTCCACTGGAACATGTTTGTGCTGCAAATGCAAAAAAAAATGTTTTTAATGAGTTTTATTTCTTCTTTTTGATGCATTCTTGATTTGTTTTGAATTAAAGGGTACTTTTCTGCCATATTAATTAAGCAGTCAAACATATAACAGAGTAATATATTCAAATATTTTTGGGCAGAAACTGTCATATTGTAAAAAAATAAAAAAAGAGCTCTGTATTTTTCTTTAAGCAGATGAATGGTGTATATAATGAAAACATATCAGCGTTTTATCTGATTCTGATCGCTCATAACTGTCATTACTGTTGTAATAATAAGGAAGTTAGTTCTGTTTTGGGAGCTGCAGATTGTGTTGTGAACATATATATATTTTTTGCGCATGAACACTGACTCTCCTCAGTCCGTCATGTGGTGTTTTGTTAAATGTCTTGCCTTCACTGGCCTGAGCTCAGTCTTGTTGTGGTCTGTCTGGTTCAGAGTCAAGAACCAAACAGAACCGCAACTAGATCTGGCCGGGCTGGTCTGAGCCTGCTTCGTTTCATCAGTTTTGGATCCTTATTTAATTCCTACCTCGATTATTGTCCTAATATGCCCCTTTTTGGATCAATAAAAGTTGGTTTCTAATTTGTGTTGTTTCTATGAAAGGGTGAGCAGCGGAGTCATGGTGTAGAAACCATAGACTGTATATACTATGGACAACTTGGTTCTGCCTCCCGCCTGTATACAGATTTGAAGCCAAAAAGCTCTCAGTATTTCCAGGATTTTTCTCTACTTCCTGAAACCAGCGCTGCGCAGAAGCATTGTACGCATTCTCGGCGGGAGAGTCGCTGTGATGACGCTTGGCTCAAACAGCATATCCCCCAGGCGAGCTACGCAATCCCTGAACGCCAATAGGCTTTATCAGGTGTCCATCAAAAAAAACGTGAACCCCCTAATAACTTTTAAAAACGGACCCTCACAGAAAAAAGAGGACTTGAGCACAAACCAGTCTTACAGTAACTACATCAGTGTTGTTTTCGTTGATGAAAATATTTCATTAACGCCCCTTTTTTTTTCCACAACGAAGATGTGACGTTGACAAGCTAAACATAAGTCTTAGATGACTAAATTGTGACGAGATGAATGTGCGTTTACGAGACGAGAGTAGAAGAAAACGTTAGTGGTGGACGATGAACAGAGTTGCAAAATTCATGAGCATTTCGTCAGTCAAACGCTAAACATATATTCTGCAGTGTTGTTTTTGTTGACGATGACGTTGATGAAATTGTCAACATCATCGTCAACAAAAACAACACTGAACTACATGTCAACACCGCAAGCAGGGGGTAGAAAAATGTATGTTCTGTGTGATAAATTTCTAAAGTTTGTCCACAGCTCCATAAGGATTGCTGGAGGAGGCGGGATTTATGACCTATACTGCAGCCCGTCACCAGAGGGTGCTGTTCTCGGAGTGGCTTCACCCAGCAAGGAGACAGCTGCTATCCCTTCTATATACAGTCTATGGTAGAAACTGTGTTTGTTCCTTTTCTTGCTCTCTTTTCTTTCTTTTAAAGCAGGATTTTAAGCCTCCGAATACGTGACACTTCCAGCTGCTTCCTGATTTGGAGTCATGATGAATCAAACTTCCTACATGTCTGGAGCAGCTTCAACCACAGTCGGCTCATCGCAGTATCAGCAGGTTTTGTTTACTCCCTCAGTTACTCATGATCAGTCATTCATGAGTGGATCCTCTGTTCACAACAAGTGAGGAAAAAAATACAAAGATTATGTTCCAGTTTTGGAAGCAAACTAGATTACAGCTCTTCACACTGATAACAGGAAGCCACTCTTGACAGTAACCCAATGTTTATATCACCTTTGACCTCACTTGACTGAAGGCTGAGCTGCACTGTATTTGTGGAGGAGGTGAGATCAGGTGGAGTAAATCTGCAGCAGACGTTCTTAGAAAGTTAATCCCCTTTCAGACCTGGAGACTGAGATGAGCTTCGGCTCAGTTACAGAAATCAGGAAGTTGTCTCGAGACATTACCACAGTATCAGACGGGAGTAGTAACTGGAAAGAATCCAGGATGTCAGGCTGTGAGGATGGATGATACAATGGCAATTATCTGTGACACAATGCAGCAAAAAAACAGACAAATTAGGAAGATGTGAAGAACGTGAGTTTGGATTTGTCTGAGTTGACAAAGCTGATTTTGTTCTAAATCAAATACATGCTGAGGATTTGAAAAAAGCTTGTGCAGGATTAGGCGCACTGCATAAAGTGACAGTATCACCAGAATGGGCGTCAAAAGCAGAGTTTGGGATTCGTTTGAGGCAATTCATCAGAAAGTAAATTATAGTGGGCCCAGAACTCAACCTTGAGGTTCCCACTTATGGATTTCCAGTATCCTGAGTACCTCTGAGGTACAGAGAGAAGGTAACTTTCTTAAATGCAGTTTTATAAGCGCCATCTGCCTCCCTGTGGGTCTAATGAGTGTGTGACCAGAGCAGAGAGGCGCTCACAGTCACCGATCAAAGACTTCCCAACAGGATCCCCCCTTGTCTCCAGGAGCCAGAGGCCCCTGCGTGCCGCAAGAAGAGGACAAGGATGTTATTGTGTAACGAGACAGAAGCAGAACCCACCTGACCACTGCTCCACCAATGACATCAGCTCCTCCAGGCTGCTCCTCAGGTATCCTCTGTCTGTCCTCTGGGTGCAGGACGGGTCAAAGGCCTGAGGGCATCCGATGGTAGAACAGATGGAAAGTGAGCAGCAGGGACAGAAACGTAAGAACAGATGAACTATTTTCTTACTTTGAAACACCTGCTTCGTATACTAAGAGTCAAACAAGTCTGAATATTATCTTTTTATTTTTTAACAAATTTCACAGTCCTAAAAAACGTTTCCAATCGTATAAAAAAGAGATATAAGCCTTTATTTAAATGTCTTCTCAGTAAAGTAAATTAAGTCTCACTCAGTCCCTGCCATGATGTTTTGTTGATTTAGTTTTCTCCTTGTGTTGTTTTTCATTTGAGTGATTTTTCTGTGTATTTTTATTTCCAAATGTTCCTTCTCTCCTGTAGTCTTGTCTTGTGCGTTTTCAGTTTGTGTCTGACCCTATTTCTCTCGCCTTCTTCTCTCTTTCATTCTGTTGATCAGTTTTTAATTCTTCCTGTTTTATTTTGTCTATCCTTGTGTTTATAGTCTAGTTTTGGTTCCTCAGTTTTCCCTCCTTACTAACTGTCTGCACCTGTGTCTCACCTGCCTCACCTGTTGCTCATTTCCTTGTGTGTATATATAGTCCCTGTCTTCCCCTGTTTCCTTGTCGGTTCAATGCGTATTCTTGTGTGCCCCATTTTTGTGGGTTTTTCTCATTTGTTGCTTTTTTTTCATTTAGTTCTTCTAATTCAATCATTTTTTTTTGTTCTGCATTTGGGTCTTTTTCTTTGTTTAACCCTTCACGTCCTGACAGTCCCAGTGCCTCAAAGACAGCATCTCTAAAACCTCAAAGATACTCAGTTTTTGTAGTCATATTATCAAGAGTAAACCGTCCCATCCTCACATCAAATAAATACAAAGCCATGAATGTTTGACTTCAACTTCAACTTCACTGATTAACTCACTGATGAGGAAGTTTCTGTCAAAAGGCCAATCAGCTTATCTTTAAGGCTTTAACTGCAGTGTTAAGAGTCAGAGGATCCTTGACCTGAGTCAAAAGTAAATCCATTAGGTGAGGTACCGAATATGTTGGTTGGTGTTATATATAGAAGAGGTATAAAAAACCTTGACTGATTCTTGAACACATTGTTGAGTTTACGCTGGCACAGTCAGGCCTGTTTTCACTTTTACACTCATGAATCTGTGATCAAGTTTGATGTATTTCATGTGATTGTAAAGTAATTCAAATGAAGTGGTGAAAAATGTGCATGTGCCAAAAAACCTCCTAACTGTAGCCTCCAGGACCTGCTGTTCTTATGTTACCCCATCTCCCTAAAGGCTCCACGTCAGCCTCAGTGTGGCTCCACTGACTACAAAAGACTGTTTAGACCCATGAGACACAACAGAAACTCTGAAATACAAGATGTTCCTCTTCTCTAAACCCCTCCCTCCTCTCCCCGGCAGGAGGAGCGCTTCCCTCCGGACCCAGTCCTCCCTCTGTAAGAAGTGACGAAGACGCGCACCCCCGCCCACTCCCGTGACGCAGAGCCTCCCCGTGCGCACAGATGCCGGAGTGGAAGCGACAGGCGCGCTCATCTCTGTGGGACTGAACGCGTCGAGGAGCGGAGACTGGGGGGGAAGAGCATCACCCGGTTTGCGTCCGTCAGGAGCCTCACACCGCGGGGGGAGATGGTCCACACGAGGCTGTCCGCGGGCAGGAGGACTTAGAAAGCTGCGGTCCATCCATCCGGACACTTTAAAGCTACTCTAACCTCTTCCTCTTTCACAAGGAAGATAAGAATCCAAGCGGTCATCTGCTCTGCTATCTCCGGGTCGGGAATCTAACCCCAGTCTGAAGGCCAGTCGGTGTTTTAATCATCTTTGGACAGGATGTGGAGAACCGGGATCCTCCTGCTGCTGTGGGTGCTTCACGCGTCCGGTGAACTCCAACAAGAGACGGAGCCGCGGAGACTTCCACCGCCGGGAAAGTTGGATTTCGGTTATGTGCCTGCGGGAGTTTACGAGACCCTGGCCCATTACGAACCGGGACCGATAGGGATCCTGTTCCACCTGGTGCACGGCTTTCTCTACGTGGTGCAACCCAACGCTTTCCCCGAAGGTAAGCATCCTCTTCCTCACACAGAAATGAGATCTCTGAGGGGGGGAAGGAGGCTAAAACACGGAGCGATATCCACGGGGGACGTGTTAAAATAGAGTTAAATAGTGTTAGTGTTAAATATGTTGAAGTGTTAAAATATGAGGAATCCAAAATCAGCTTCTTTTCACTTCATATCGGTGACATTCGTGTCCTCACTCAGCTGTCATGCGCAAAAACTCCGCATGCAAAGACACATTAGTTCTCATGAATGAACGTGAATCAGCAGAGGCCGTTTGAACTGATGTTCCCCAGCTCTCCCCTCTCTCTTGTCTCATTGCGTGAAAATGTGTCCACTCACGGATTTGTAGTCGATTCGTGCGTCAGCGTCGTTCGCGCGTCTATGTTTGCGCGCAGAGCTGACAGCGCGCATGAAGGTGATGTTTGTGCCTGCGGCGCACTTTGTGTCCACATAATCACAACTAATGAACCTCTCGCTGACTTTTCCTTTTTTCCGGAGCGGGTGGGTGTTTATCAGGGTGCCCAGAAAGTCCGAGCGCGCCTGGATCTGCATGTAATACAATTAGAGCTGACTGCTTAACAGACTCCAATAAGGCGTGTGCGTTTAAGTGGGTCGTGGATGGTCAAAAAAGATGCAACACCCCTCCACGCTTTACAGTCTGGGACCATCCTCTGCTGGAACATTTTGCAGATTAGCAGCTCTCTGAGTCACCTTGTTAATTGGGTAATCCCATAAGCCCGTGCACCATATGTTGTTGGCCCTTTAGATTGCAGTTTGTCACCAGCACTAGAGGGCTCATGTCCTAATCCTATGGAGCAGCAGACCACTGCTCAGTGAAGTTGTTAGTTCACCCATGGGTGAACCTACCAAATGATGCAGGACAGAGAGTGGAAATCATGTGGAAGTCATTGGGTCGAACATAATAGTTCAGCTGCAGACAAACGCTTGCACACACAGTTTTGGCATTCCTTTGATTAGAGAGCCGCAGGGAATTCATTATTATTTTTGGGTTCACCAGAATTTGGATGGCATAAGCAAATGCCATGTGTGTATTAATAGCAGTGGTGCGTGTGTGGATATTTAACACGATGAATCCAGTGATCTGTCAGGTCTATTTGGATGAAAACATGCTGGTTTGCAGCAAACCTTTGGGACTCGCAGAGCTTGTCATTTCTGTAACAACGTGTTTCAGGATTTTGTTCTGCACTGCCGCCGAGCTGCTTGTTGGGAAACATAACTTGTAGTTGCATTAAAATGTATAAGACAAGTGAAGAAAAGGATCTGCGAGTGGTTTCCACCCCAGCGGTTTGTGACTGGAGGTGGTGCAGATGTCAGAGTGGAGCTTTGTTCAAGCTGGGTGGATGTGTCTCTGTCTTCACTTCAGCCTGCAGTAGACCAGAGACTTTTTCAAGCTGATATGTGAGGATTAAATGTTGGATCTGGGTTACTACGCTTTCATTTTTCTTAAATTACAGTGAAAAGATGTTCTACAGACACATTAATTTGAAACCAGCAGTAGAAATAATTTTACTACCACACTTTGAGCTCATGTGCAACTACCCCAACTACTCTTATTTGTCCTCAAACAGGATGAAATAAATCACAGATAGGTCTGTACAGGGGGGCAGCACAGATAAACAGACAGACACATAAACAGATTCAGTATATTGTGAAGTGAAACTTGTGCAACAAAGAATATAAAAACCTAAGTCCTGAAAAACCTGCAGTTATGGTCTTTTGCAATTATGATCAACTTGAACTAGTCATTCTTCTAAACTCGACTGAAGGCAAGTCAATCTAACCCCCGAATGATTCATCTACAGTCCTAAAGAGGCTGTCTGCATGTCAAGTCAGGATTTGTCTGCAGTGTGATGACTATTACTGAGGTGATGGATACGCAGCGCACATAAACTTCACCTGTGCGCTCACCTAAATAGGCACCCAAGTATATTTATCAAACTATTTTGGCATCCTATATACTTATTATATCTAAGAGATAATGTCATGTCAGGAAAATAAAATGTAAATTACAGAGCGGGACTAATATAGGGATATAAAAATCTATCTTTTGAAAAGTGGGTCATGTATTTTGAAATGTTTGGCATAGGGCTGGGCGATACACCAAAAATTTACAGACTGAAGTAGACAAAGTTAATGTGGGAGGGGGTGAGCAGCTTGTGGAGTAGTTATACATTTATTGTTATCGAGGTGAACTGATCAATATATCGTGATACTGATTTGAGACCATATCGTCCAGCCCTAGTATAACATGTATCTTGCAGAATGTCATAGTTTGACAGTATTTTCAGGAAATTAGAGATAAAGTTGTATGCAGGCTGTGTTTGGTTGACTATCTAACTTTTAGGTAACTATCCAGAGTTTAGAATACTGTGTAAATGTCCAGGAAGTTCGTCCCTCCAGAATATTCCTTATTTAAATATTTTCAATTCAGTATGTTGACATTGCAAGCAGCTATAAGGAGTAAACCATGTAGAGTTTATAGATAAATGAGTGGGAGAGCAGACTAGTTTATTCCATCTGAATTAAAATCTGTAAATATTACATAATAAATAATAATTATCATATACGGCTCTTAAGGTTGAATAGACTGCCTTTTTAAGTTGTTTAACCATGACACTTCTGTATGCACCCACAAGAGAAGCTACAGTGACTGGATGTACCTTTTAGAAAACACATTAAAGAGCATCTCCCCCTTACAATGACTTATATTTCAGTCTTCAAAGCACCTTGAGATAATGTCAAACGTTGATCCTTTGCCTCTAAACCATATTCATGGAGCTCATTGAGCGTATGCTGTCTGCAATATTAAACAGTGTCACACCAAAACCATGGATACAGAAAAACAGAACAAAGTTATACAGACGGGATTCAATCAGGAGTCATTATTGAAATGAGACACATCTCTGGTAAAGGGCAACTGTGTTGTTTGTTTAATTAGTAATACTCCATCATTATGTCTTTACAATCAGTGCGTGACATTTCTCATCGGAAACGTCTCTATAACCTCCCGAATGTTTGATGCATTGGACCGACACGCTGGTTCTCTGTATCTAACACGCTGCGAGCTCGTAGGAGGTGTTATTAGCAAAGAAGCAACAAATGTCTATCACCAACACCTACACACAACACGCGATGACATATTCTCTCTAACATTTTTATAACAGCTTTTTGCTGCAGTGTGAAAGCCTCACTTCCCTTCCTCACACCTACACAATCTCAGACAGCAACACACAACTGCAACATGCCAACACACGGGCTGCAGGAGCACAAGCTTCCCTGAGACATGAAATACACAACTCCTCCTTATCACTGATTTACTTTATGCAAATACTAAAGGGGTAGTTGGTACTTTTTTGTGATGAGTAAAGCAAACTTGGCGTTACTCTGACAAACGAAACAGGAAATTCAGGTGTGTTAAAAACTAATTACACTGGCATTTTGCTTAAACACAGTCACTCCCAACATTAGGCTAGATTAGATTACATAAGATGACACCTTTACTAACAATCTATTCAAAAGACATTTTCATACCATTACAGGCACATCACACCACTGCTGATACCTTTGACTCACACAGTGACTCTGACCATTTTACAGAGAAGGTGGATTTTTAAAGATCTGAAGTGATCCTGTGTCTCTACCTGCCTGTTTTAAGCAGATTTCAGTAACACTTTAAAGTGGCCATAATTTATATATGGTAAATAGATAGTTTATTAATGTTTAATCATTATTTAAAAACAGCATATAGACCAATTATAAATGGCAAATAGTTTATAAATGCAAGTTAATAGTTACTTTACCATTAACAAGCAATGAAATTGTGATTAATAATTTTCATTAATCATTAATAGACTATTTATTAAAGGTTTATATTGGGCTCAGTAGCACTTTGTAAATGGTTTATATTTGGTTTTTAAACCATCTATAAACATTACTTAGGTGGTCATTGTAAAGTTAGGGTTTGGGTTAGGTTTTTAAAATTGTGAAATTTACAAATTATTAATGCTCTATATGCTATTTATAATTGATGATTAAACATTAATTAACTATCTGCTCACCATTTAGAAATGGTCTATTTACCATTGATAAGTTATGGTTATTGTAAAGTGTTACCCAGATTTCCTTGTTCTAGTGAATAAATAGATCACCATGACCTCTGACAGTCATCTAACACTGAGTGTATTTCATACTGAGCTACATCAGTTGTTTTAAGTTGAAATACAGAGGACATAACAGTGGGGCTAAAACCAACAACTACTTTGATTGTTGACCACTGTTGACTGTTGAAACGTTGTTTCAGTTCCCTATTGATCTTGTGATCCTGTCTTGTGAGTTTCAGTTTGTGTTTATTTGATTCTTTGTGTTTCTAGTCTGGTTTTACTTCCTCAGTTTTCCTTCCTTTGAGTCTCACCTGTGTCTCGTCTGCCTCACCTGTTGCTCATTTCCCAGTGTGTATATAGTCCCTGTCTTCCTCTCTGTCCTTGTTGGTTCATTGTATGTTTGTCGATGCGTATATGCTTGTGTCCCCTGTTGCTCCCAGTGATTTTTGTGGATTTTTCTCTTTTGTTGCTTTTTTTTCATTTACTTCTTTAAACTAAATCATTT